AGCAAACTTAAGTACATGGTACAAATATTAGCAGCCCTCACATGTTTATCATCTCTGACAGATCTGTTAACCGTAGGCTATGGGAAGCAGAAGCAGATATAGCAGATAAGCAGTGTCAAGTCATGACGTCTCTCCTGCAACGAGCCAGGTACAGTGCTCAGCTGGAATGCCATGGACAGCACTGTGCTCCTGTTTGCTATAAAGCCTTACTCTGAAGCAGCTTTATTCATGCCTGCTACTTTTCTTTGTGTGTAATTAGGCACGTACTTCATCATCTAGACACTGCCTGCTCTTTAGGGCTTTTCTACTGACTTTTTTCTGTCCACATGCTACATAAACCTCAGTTATATCTGTTTTCAATGTATGGCATGACCCCATCTTACTGATATAAAGAGACATACATACATATGTATATTGAGACTAAAATGAGAGGCTGTCAGTCAGTTTGGGATTTTCAATTTGAAGTTGGTAGACCCACCTTTTTAAACTGTGGGTTTTTTCACTTGTTCCAGACACGGTTTTCCTTCACCTTGGTTGCAACAGCGAATGCTCAGTAATTTTGTACTTCACCTCGGACATCCATTAAATGAGGACTAGCCAGTTAATGAACATTTGAGAAAGGGCTGGTTTAAGTGATTTATGGACCTAACGTCACATTGAAACTTTATAGCAGACATGAAAAGAACCTAATTCTCCAGAGTAGTATTCTGTTGTCTTCACTACAGCACATCTTCTTTCTTCTTTATCCTTCTGCATTCACAACATGCGCTACAATCATGGCAACAAAAGAGGCAAGGGCTCCTCTAGACAACAGGATCCTCTGTTTGACTGGCTCGATTCATCCCAAGGCAGAGCGATGAATAGTCATGTAAATGAAGACCGTGTCTCAGACCTACCACAAGAAGGCAAAACGAAGGTTACCCAGACAGACTTAGCATCTGGGCATTGCTAGTTTTTGCGAGCTGGACTTTGTAAAACAGCGCTTTCCATGTTTAGGAATAAATGCTCTTGTTTATCCTGTTTTGTGGAATTGTGTTTGTACCAAAAGAAGTTCATCAGCAGGACGCAGCTGAGACCACTGCTTGTGCGCCAATGGTGTGGATCGGGAAGGCTGTAAAGTGAAGTGTGAGAGAGCCTCAAAACAGGGATCAGGCCACAGACAGCTCTGCTGTTCCCCTTCCCTCTCAGAAAATGGAAAGTGGGGAGACACAGTCTCTCACTGTCTCGCCCCATTGCTACTTGGAGAAAGTAAGCACTGCCATGGAGCTGAGGTTTTACTTTGCCTTCTCCCTTTAGGAACAGACCTGCAGTGCATGGGCTCATTGAATAGCCCCTACTTCCCAGCCAGCAAGGATGGTTTCTGCACAGGAGCTGCAGCAATAGCTGTGCTGCTGTGTTCTGAGCTGGCCTTTGCATTCCTCTAGTTTGCCCATATTGTTGCTAATGTAGTGTTGGGCCTAGCATGTCTAAAGAATGGCTTGAACACAGGTGCAAAAATGTCATCTCGGCAGATATAAGGGTTCTTCTGTCCATTGGCATTTGGGTTTTTTTTAAATATTAAGGTATAACAACCAAAAGTTTGGCATAGAAACATTTTAAATATGAGATTAAAAAAAGGTAAGAAGAAAACACTTAGTTCCATCTTTTAAAGCAGGAGCTAATAGGAGACATTTTCAATCCCCAAATTTATGAACGCACACTACTGAATTGACTTAACTATCACTAAGCAAAGGATTTTCAAGGTACAAAGTTTATAAATCAGATCAGGATGTTTTCTGGTACAGGTCCTTTCCTCTGGAATTTACTCATGCCAGAAACATGTCAAGCCCCATCTCATTTCAGAAAACATGTACTGCTTTTGTCCCAGCCTTTCGCCAGCTGCTGGCTCCAAAACGCTTGGTCTGCAGCTCATCGGCAGCGTTTAATTTGTCTCCGTCCTTCAGAATTTCATTCTTCTGCAAAACCCTGTCACCTTCATTCCATGTGCTTGAAACACGTTACAACTTCCAGTCTAAGGCAGACATTGCAGATTCAGCATTGTCAGAAATGCTTCTGTTGCCAGCTGGTGACACCTGGATTTGTGACTGGTAACTGCAAGAGCTCATCTGCACCCACTAAAAGGTTTAATGAGAGCAGCTTCCCCTGGGGTACAGTTTATGAATGACTGAGACCAGGTGTGACTTAGACTAATAAACTATTTGCGTAACTCAACAAATTGTCCAGCCACGAATGAGTACTGCGGTCTGATGCTAAATGTAAAATGGTCACTAGCTTTGGGGGCAAGACTGTGAAGAACTGATCTGTAATATCAACTGTATGGCTTTAAAATGTTGACACATCTAGGCTTGTGAAAAACATACAACAGGGTTAGTCCATCTCTCATGTTTTTCCAGCAACCAAAATCTGTCTCTGGTTTCTAAATTAATTTCCCTTTTTGCCACTTCCTTGATCAGTTGTACAAGTTTTTGCCATTTCAACCTGAAATTGAAATATTCATGGTGATCACAAATGAAATGTCACTGGTTCTCCGAGTATACAACCCAAAAGAAGCTACACTGAGTTTATTATTTCATTCAGCAAATGAAATTACTTCCTTCTTCCTGTTTAAACGTTAGCCATAAGTTCTGACAGAATTTCTAGATTGATGTCGTATAGTGCAACAAAAACAAGGGGCTCTTCAATCTGATTCAACTTTTGTAGAATATGTGAACATTTGCTTACAGAACTTGTTTCTCATAAAGTATTTGCTACTTTTTCTGTTGAATTACTGTCAGATGCCAAGGTCTTTAGGGGACACTCATTTTCTTTGAAGGAAATACTATCACTTATGGCTAGAATGTTCTCTGTTTTTCTGACTAGGTACACGAGACCTCCAGAGGGATGTGCCCTCTGCTTCTCAAGCAGCTCTGGAGTTTCTCACTTCAGAGGGCAATTTCTCTTTGCCCCCATTTCCACTGGGGCTTGCTGTCCAAGGAATAATCAGCCTTCTGTGGAGCTGGCATAAGCCAACAGGAAAGGCTGTTGCTCATCTCAGCGCCACACAATGCACCGCAACAACGTGTTGTGCAAAACCTGAAATGGAAGGAAGCAGCCGATTCTGTGTGTGGTGATCCAGTTTCCTAACTTTTGTTTATGCTTAAGACGACCGTGCATTTGCAGTTGACCTATGCTACTTACAGCTTTTTGGGAGCTTCCAATCTTGTTAAAGAGCCTGTCTGTCAAAAGGCTTTCTCTGCGCAGTTTTTTCCTTACCAAGTGGTGAAACTCTGAGATGTAATCAGCTGTATCTTATTCAGTATGACAGCAATGAAATCATTTAAGCTACTGATGCAAATCAAATGTGATCTTAATGTTATTCCTAAACAGAAACACTCTCAACAATTCCAGAGACCAAGGTCTCATGCGAACACATGTAAAACAAATTCATCCCCTTCACATATTTGTGAGTATCTGATTACTATTATTAGTCATGAAATCATTACCTGCATTACCTCTTTCCTGAGTCAAACTTAGGAGCAGCTAATGGCCACATCGCTGTTGCCTCTGGTTATCAGTCAGTGTTTTGTTACTTCTCTGAAAAGCACTTTGGTTGCTCTGCTTTAAAAAAACCCCAAACTTACAGAGCTCATTTATCCCAGGAAGCCAGGAGTCAGAATTTATTGGATTGGAAATAATAGTGCAGCTGTGTAGATGTGAGTTCTTCACATTGCTCTCATGGCAAAACCAGGAGTTAGGAGAGTACATTCACCTCCAGTAATAACACACCCAGATTCTGGTCAAATGAAATGAACTGTTCTGTTGGATTCTTTTTTAAAAATTGCATCTTATATTAATGTTCTGAGATTGCTGAGAGGAAAATAATCTCACTGTGTCAGCTCATGCTTCTTTTATTTATTTAAATTTTTCTGTTTTACGATTCAATATTCCCATCACTTTAGGATATAAATGTTGCCATAATGATGTTATAAAGCTACCTACTTGCTAAGCTCTACAGAACTTCATTTGTTAATTGAACAGTGACCAGAATCCCAGAATCCCAGACCGTTAGGGATTGGAAGGGACCTCCAAAGCTCATCCAGTCCAATCCCCCTGCCGGAGCAGGAACACCCAGATGAGGTTGCACAGGAAGGCGTCCAGGCGGGTTTTGAATGTCTGCAGAGAAGGAGACTCCACAACCTCTCTGGGCAGCCTGGGCCAGGGCTCTGTCACCCTCACTGAGAAGAAGTTTCTTCTCTAATTGAAGTGGAACCTCCTGTGTTCCAGTTTGTGTCCGTTACCCCTTGTCTTATCATTGTTTGTCACCGAGAAGAGCCTGGCTCCATCCTCGTGACACTCACCCTTTAAATATTTATAAACATGAATGAGGTCTCCCCTCAGTCTCCTCTTCTGCAAACTAAAGAACAACCATGTCCTAATGGGACATGCCTAATTGGGGCCATTAAGTATTGCAAAAAAAAAAAACCAACACCTTGCCCTGGATAAGTTGTCTCTTCTCTTTCCCCAGCTTAATATATAATAATAATAAATAATACATAAATACATATAAAAATATATATATAAAATAAATAATACATAAATATTATCTGTGTTGACATATTTTGTCTTAATTTTTCCGTGTTAAATTTTAGAATTTGAATAAAGATTTATCAAGTGAGAATGAGATCGATGAAGATGATTCTGTTTAGGTTGCAAGGACTAATACCTTAGAGGGCTAATAAAAACCATTAATTTATACTGGGTGAGGTTCTTCTCCAGAAAATCCGTCTCTCTTCCTCTTTGGGTTGAAGGTTTACAGACCAGCTGAGTCACTCCTTGTCTGTACCACCTGGGAGGAGAGGGGAATCTAACTCAGAGCTTTTTTCTGGAAGGTTGTAACTCATAAAAGATTTGTCAGACACTATTACCCTCTACAGTTGCCTCTGCAAATTTGCAGTCAATATATCTGCAATGGGGATTCCCTCTTGACCTATTTTAACGGCTCTATTTTTTTTTGCCTTCAGGTGTGGGTGGATGCCGGCACACAGATATTTTTCTCTTACGCCATCTGCTTGGGGTGCTTGACAGCCCTGGGAAGTTACAACAATTATAACAATAACTGCTACAGGTAATATCTTCCACGCTTTATTTTTACGCTTAGTTTCAGTGATGGAAATGCCCACATACTTAGCTTCCCTCAGAAGTACTTCCCTTTTCCTTTAGCTATTTGCCTAACAGCACATGCACGTATTTTTGTAGAACAGAGATCTATAATGTATTTATAACTGTTTCAGAGGAACTCTTTTCCAAAATTTGGTGTTTTCATCCCTTTCAATCATATCTGACCCTTGCAGAGCCACAAGCCACTCAGTGCACACATGTATACACAACTGCATGTATAATTGCATATGTGGTTTTACAACACACATCTGCTTAAAAACAATAAACTACAAAAAATTGTTATTAAAACTCATCTGAGTTTGGGCTATGCTGTGAGTGTCACTTTTCCCCATAGTTTTCTGGCTCCTGGCTACTGCACAGTGGAATGGATAGCATTACATTGCATTTCTTTATAGAACTCAGTAAGGACATTGCTACTGACTTCAGTAGGTTTTCATCTTTCCTGAATCAATGTCAAAAGAATATGACTCACACAAAATCCTCATTCCATTTTACAGACATGGGCATGAATATGAGCACTACATTTTTTCTTCTGGCATCAGCAGTTACTGAATTAGTAACCACTATCAGTAATTTTCTTACTATTCAAAAGCCTCTAATAGAAGACAGTTTGATTGTCCTGACTCCATTATGATCTCCAGAGAGAGAATTAAAATGTCATTTTTCTGTAAAGGAAATAATACAGTCCAAAAGCAAAAGAACCCCAAACACAGCACCACCACAACACTTTTCAGTGCGGTTCTGTAACTCATTACAAAAAGCAGGAGTTTTGATGTGCGATCAGAGAGCTTAGGTGATTTTCCTTTTCCTCTGACCCTAAGAGCATAGTTTGTAAAAAACATCAGCAGATCTCCTTTAAACTTCTAAACAAGATGCTTCAAGAGAAAACTTGTTACTGAATCCTAGCCTCACAATTCCTCTAACAAAATATTTTCACAGTTTCCTGAATAGGACAGATTTTATTGTGTCCTGACATAGGATTTTTAACAAATCTGAGGAAAGGAGTAGGACAAAAGTTAACTGCAGTAAACAGCTGAGTTAAACAGGGTTGTTAGCAGACTAAGACATACAAAGCAGCTATGCAGTGGAAAGCAGAATTAAATTTACATTCTAACTAGCACTTACAAAAATTAAAGCCATGGATTTGCCTCTTGCAATGCCTGCAGTGTATTGTCTAATTGAAACATCTACGTCCACTCTTTTTGCACTGCTTTGTTAATTTTTTTTTTCTAAGGGAAAATTGCAGTGGAAAATAATGAGGCATTTCAGTGGGAAATGGGAAAACCTAAACTGCACATGGGTTTTTCTTATTAGCAACCTAAGCTAATTCATTAACATCATAAGTGAATTGCAAACAAGTCAGTTCACATCTTTGAATAGGAAATTAATTTTTGTTGTCCTTATCTTTCGTTGTGCTACATTAATACAGATCCTCCTTCGATTTAAAACAGCTGGTATCAAAAGTAGCTCTTATGAAAAGATGAAAGTAATGGCAGTACCATCAGCAGGCAACGTTTTCCCCATATCAATAAAATATACAGTATACTCATGTTTCCTCTAATTTTTAGTAAGCTAAGAAATCCTAATCCACTCAGACCTTCTTAAGGGATGGATTAACTCCAGGCAGCCTCAGAAGACAGCAAAGACAAGCGTTCTTGTTCCTGCTTCACGTGCTCTGTGTCTGCAGAATGGATCCAGCTCCTTGCTGGACAAGGGGGAAATGCCACTTGCACAGCACCACTCCTGTGTCCGGAGGCTGCACCTCAAACTGAGGGTTAGCTGCCGTGCTGTTGCTGTGGTGCAGAAGATGAGTGATTTCACACACTGCAAACAAGTGGACAAAACTTGAAATGAGGATGTGCTCTTTATCAAGCTTCTAGTCTAGGAGGAGAAAAGGCATGGGAATTGGTCTAAAGGGCACCCATAAAGGCAAGGAAGTAACTGCAGGGATGCAAAAGGCTCTGTGTTCTCTTCTTTCTAATCAGAGAAGCTCCTTAAGAAAGGGAGAATTAATGCTCAGCAGTACCTGTCGGGCAGGGACAGGATAAGGGATGCATGTTTTGAATTAGTCAGGTGATTGGCTGGACATTAGTTTGGAAGAATGTGAAGTTTTCATTAAAAAATCAGTTTTCCTTTCATTTTAAATCAGTTTGGGCTTCAGTCAGGCTCTGATGCCTTCCTACCAAGGAGGCTTATAAAAAATTGATGGAAAAGTAGATAAACTGCATGTTTCCCATCCAATAGTTCCTGGGCTTTTGTGTTTTGAAATTCATTGCTTTCCACAATCAATGGATTCAGATCCCCCTCTCAGTTTTCCTTCCTTTAGCAGAACAAAAGACTGATTGACAGGTTAAACACTTCTGTGTAAGGGAAAAAAACATAAGGAGTTGAGGGCTTAGTCAAATTCCTGCAGAGATAAAGGATGGAAATGAAAAGCGGATGTTATATTTTATTAGGACAGGAAACACTTCTCTGTCCCCAGAGAACAGGGACATTTGTTCATCTGTGACTGTCTAACGGGGAAAAAATGATGGAGCTGTGGTTGTGTGATGTGAAAAGCATAGGATCACCAACTGGAGATTATTAAAATCTCCTTAGGTTGACTTTTGCCCATTTCCTTGGAGAAATGCGTAGGACCCCGTAATTGTTTTGTACCATGGCACGGTGGTTCGGGGTCTTCCCTTGTGAGTGGAGAAACATCTGTGCTGCTCTAGTTCTCTCACAGATGATCACGTTATATAGGGTTGTCCAGTTTAAACCACCTGGGCCCTGCCCTAGTGCCTTCCTTCAAGAGGAAGCAGCAGAAGCTGCCAGGGGCTCTAAAGGTGCGCAGGGAGCAAGGGGTCTCCACCTCAACCCTTTTTCACATGGTCAGGAACCAGCAGCTCTCAAATGTCCTGTGCCACGCTGTTCACCAGAACAACAACAACAACAGAAGTCTTCTTGTTTCTGCTACATTTGAAGCCTGGGAATTATCTAAAATAAATCTTATCTGCAGAAAACTGGCTGTTCCAAATGGAGGCACCGTATGACTGGTGAGCAGCCAGATCCATCCCACTGTAGTAGTATCTCTTTTTCTCCCCCCAAAGGATTAAAAATAACATCTTTCTGACATCTTTTATTGACAGTTTTATCACACTAAGTTTTAATTTCTCGGCAGTTTCTTAGGTGAGAGAGGCTGGGGTGAGAATCTCTCAGTGCTGAAATACACTGAGAAGAATGGCCAGGAAGATGATCTTTTTCTCTGTTTTATTTCTCTGCAAAGCACAAAGAACTCCGTGCTCCTGGTTACTTGCTTTTAGATTGCTATTTTTCTCTAAAACACCCGAAGTGTAGAACTAGCCTGGCTGGGCATAACTACAGGAAGCAGTTTCATATGAAAAGCAAATAAATAACAAGTTAGAATGCTGGCCATTTTCAGACAGTATTTTAAAGGACCTAGTTACCCCTGCTAATGAACAAACAATGTTTGAGAGCCCATGCATGAAAGAAGCGTGAACATCACTGGACTTCTCCATGGCTGAGTCTTGATCTACAAATGGGAATATTCATTCTTTTTCGTTTCTGGACAGATTTTAGCAACATATAGATTATATGCCATGTAGAAATTTTTTTACTATGAAGTGGTTACGAAAACATGACAACATGCTCAAAATAATGGTTAAAATTAACTAAATGAAACAAGCAACAGGACAGAGAGATTACCAAAGATACGTTGCTGGAATATGTGCCAAGACTTCAAAAATATGAATTGCCTCCGATTCTCAAAGAGTCACAAGAAATTTCCGACAGAGATGGGAACCATTGCTGAGAGGTGTGTTCAGAACCTGTTACATTTGACAGGGTCATTTCTTCTTATAGCCAGCTTGCCAAAGATTTGCTTCAGAGGCACAGTAGGGTGGGAATAAACCAGACTAAGGGGTAGCCTTGATGGACCTACAGGCTTTGCCTTGTGTGTCAGTGGCTGAGAATCCTAATTTCCTTTCAGGCATCTAGGTTAGATTATCACTTTCTGAAGCACACAGCTGCCTCTCACAGCAAACAGTCTTAAAAGGCTGACCGTCATGATAAATCGTCCCGACCTCATCATCCGTCAAGCCTGAAGCGCTCTCTGAAAGCAGGATGAGCAACGATATTTCACTGAGCTCTGGGGAAAGATTGCACCTTTCTGCAAGAGTATTTTCCCTTTTTTCTAAAGTGATTTACTACTGTGACATTTCTAATCTGGGAAAAGCAATATTTCCTCACTGTGGACTCGTATCTGTCGTCGTTTGATGTGCAGGACACACGCAGGTCTCAGAGAGCAGTGTTCCTGCATTGTCTCTGCCTACTCGTTGAGCACTTTCTTAGGCATGTGCACACTTCTTAGATTACCTTTGGTGCTTTTCATTGCCACAGCTGCTTAAAAAAAGTTTATAAACTAAACAGGAGTTGTATTTTGTATTGGTATATCTTGCCAATACACTGGCAGAGAATTAGCTGAGATATGACCATAAGTTTTTTTTCCAAGAAACAAATTACTACCATTTTTATATAGTTTATAAATGAATTCATATCCTCTAGAATACATTATTACAGCTACTTTAGAAATATTGTTCTTAACACTATTCTTACAGTATTTTTACATGGTTTTTAAAAACTTTATTGAAAAACAGTGAGTAACAACAGGTTTGCAATTCAGCCAGTTAAACCACAAGCAAGGGTATCATGATGGTATCTTCCTGCAAATGCCAGGCTGATTTCTCTCTCTTTCTCTGATTTTATGCCAGGCTGATTTCTCTCAGGTAAAATACCATTGAGAGCTTACTCTTAATGAGCAACTTAATGCCCATTCTTGCAGCTTGGAGCTCTGTTAGTCCTATGGCTCAGTATATGAAAGAAACCCAGGCTCTAGAGATCGACTGCAGTGTTTTTTTATTTATATTTTCAGAGACTGCATCATGCTCTGCTGCTTGAACAGTGGCACAAGCTTTGTTGCTGGTTTTGCTATCTTTTCAGTTCTTGGATTTATGGCTTATGAACAAGGCGTGCCCATTGCAGAAGTTGCAGAATCAGGTAAGTTCCACAAGCAGTTTTTTGGGTTAACAAAAATTACCCAGAGGTTGCTGTCAGAATTCTTAGTCTGTGCCACGTCTTATGGATTACTGTAAGGGGAGAGAGAAAAAAAAGATATTGCTATTAAAGCAATGAGAAACCAGCTGTTTAGGAGATATCTTTGGAAGTCTTGCTTAATATAAACTATCCAGACACAGATTTATAACAGTCAGATGGCTAACACCATCTCCTAATGTCAGTAAGTTTTTCACCCAGGGACATACACTGAGTCACTCTGACCGATAAAGTATAAAAAGTTCTTGTTTTGAGTCCATAAAGGCACAAAGCTCTACGAGAAATGAACTATCTAACGTTCATTACCCTCATTTGGAGTTAGGCATACAATGAGAGTTAATTGCTCTTTAACAGCTTCGTGGATGTAACATCTTTAAGCATCGCTTAAAACTCAATAGAACAAAAAGAACAGGAGTGCTGCCCAGAAGGACCAGCAGTGTAATGCTGAACTGCTGAGAAGGACAAACGACTCTCATGAAGTTAGCCAAGGTTAGCAGGAAAACTGCAAAGCAAGTAGAGCTTCACTGATACTGTCTTGGTAAAGATTTCTCTTTTCCTAAAGCCCTCAGGACAACTGTTACAGAAACTATATCCAAAAAGGTTAAAAGACTACAGCGGCTCTGGAAATAATAGGAGCTTGTAAATACTGTGTTAAATGAAAAAAGCAGAAGTGTGTTGACAGGTCTTCACTGAAGTTATTGCAGCAGGAGCACAGAGGAACTCCTTCATCAGCCTTCTGGTACTGCCTTTGTATCCCTGCTTTAAAAGCTGGCTAACTTCAATAAAAGCTGATATAGCATGAGAGTTTGCAGCAGCTGAAAAGTGGGCACAGATAAATAAGAACAGGAAAATATGAGCTAGGTGATATTGTATTCTTATCTGAGAAGTTACCAATGGTGTTGCAAAAACATTTTGATTCAGAGATTTCTGTAAATAAGCAGCCAACGAATTAATGTTCTATACCAGCAGCAGGTATGTGAGTCTTGCAGTACCTAAGAAAGAAAACATAAAGTACAGTGATGCCTTGACAGAAGTCTCGACATTAAAAGATTTGGATGGGGTGCAGACAGAGTTGATGTACCAAGCAAGTCTTTGTTAGTCTCATCTCCAAATATTTAGCCTATTAGAGATGTAGAGTTTGTCAGGTTTTTAATCTTGTATTTAGCTCCTCTTACCTGCCATAAAAGAACAATCGAGTTGTGGTGGGTTGGTCCTCACTGCTGTGTCCTCACTCACCCACCCCAGTGGGATGGGCAAGAGAAAAAGTGAGAAAACTCATGGGTGCGGATAAAGACAGTTTAATTAGTGATGCTGTGCAAGTGTTGTTCAGCAATACCACAGTGCTGGTGCTAGCAATGCTGTTCTATCCACAACCCCAAAACACAGCACCATGCAGGCTGTTGGGCAGAAAGTTAACTCCATTTCAGCCAGACCCAGTACACAAGGATAAATGATTTCCTTTCTTTTCTTCCTTTTCAGGACCGGGACTTGCATTCATTGCTTACCCTAAAGCTGTCACCATGATGCCTCTCTCTCCTCTGTGGGCAACTCTGTTCTTCATGATGCTCATATTCCTCGGATTAGATAGTCAGGTATGAAACAAACACTAATTAAATATTTTGTCAGATTCTCTAGCACCTGTAGATCAGCATCCTGGGTGTAAGCAGCATCAAACCCTGACTGAATTCTTTGCTTAAAACCACTGATTCGAGTTCCTTATTTTAAATCTTAGTTATGTGGTGCTGGAGATTCCTTTATGATTTACTGTAAACACTGATTCAGCTTAAGTACAGCTTTCATTATTACCGTGGAAATAAGTGCGAGCTTACATATGGGTGATTCAGATTCACAGTTCAGTAAAATACCAGTGTGTCTTCTTTTCCCATTTCAAAACACTTCACAATGGATTTTGAAACCGAGTATCAGATAGTGATGATGTAAGTTCCTATGGCATATTTATACTTTGCAGAAGTACTCTGTACTTTATAGAGGCTGTCCTTCCTATGTGGCCATAAGAATTGTGAAAGCTATTTGATGAAAGATGTGAAGTAGCTGGCATTGTTAGCATGCAGCTCAGCTCTTGGTGTGATTTGGTTCAAAAGGTTTATGATGGTGTACTACAGAATAAAGCCGTTCAATGCTTAGTTTGCATGACATTTCCAGTCATTAAACTTAATGTTTTAATTACTGCTCTTTTTCCATATCCAACAACTTTTTTTAAAAGTATTTTTTAAATGAGCAATTCCTGATTAACTGTTCTACTGAAGCAGGCTTTATATTGTCTACTTCGGAGCATTAAATTTGGTGCCTATTTTAGAAACCTTGCTCCAGAGCCCTGAGTCAGAAGCTTGGGCTGCTTGCTTTCTGTGGATTTTTAAAGTTTAATAAGAACTTTCCTTCCCACCTTCATTAGATGTACTTGGCTTGGGCACTTAATAGCTTCGTGGAACTTCTCTCTTCTGTGAAGTGGAGAGGACTTCTCCAAAAAACCTGCAGTCCTTTTAGCAGTGCTTGAAGGTGCAAAGTGCTGCAAATCATTCCTCTGAGTGACAAAATGCAGGATGGTTAGAGTGAAATTCTGCTGCAGGCCTATGAATGGTTCGTACATTATTTCAGTCCTGTTCAAGCCACATTTGAAAGATTTATCTTTTATGTAATCCATGTGCTACAGGGCAAACACATTCAGAGATAGTATTACTGGATTCAACTATTTGAATTTGGTGGCAGGCTGGAAATCTATGGCTTTGGACTATTTAATTCTGAAATTATGTTCCTCTCAGTTTGAGCTTCTGCCTATGGAGTGTCCCCAGGGACCATTCAGGCTCTGTGATAAGAACACAGAAGGATATTTGAAATGTTTGGTAGCAAATCCAAATCCCAACAGCAGATGCGAGACGTATTTCATTTGGACTTTCCTATCATTTGTTCTAGTTCGTGTGTGTTGAAAGCCTTGTGACAGCTGTTGTAGATATGTACCCAAAGATTTTCCGAAGGGGCTACAGAAGAGAACTGTTGATTCTCGGCCTTTCCATTGTGTCATACTTTATCGGCCTAATAATGTTAACCGAGGTAAGATGTGCTTTGTTGTACTACTGCAGAAAAAGGGAACAGGTTTCTGTTTATAATCAGACAAAATGCAAGAACATTGGCTGTAGACAAACTTCACTGTCAGGAATATGACTATAAAATACTTGAGAGACTGTTCCCAACTACTGGGTAAGATTTGAAATGTGAAACGTAGCCTCAGTTTTTCAGTTGAGCTTAGGAAATATTTTAATTAAAGTTACACAGCCAAGGAAATTCCATCTGCTCTGTACCAGCCAACCAGATATACTGACTGTGGTTTCTGCTCACTTACTCCAAGCAGACCAGCTTGAAAACAACCACAATTTGGATTAATAGCTCAATAAAGAAGATGATGCAAAGCGAAAACAGAAAACTAAAATGTCTTTGATTTTTATATCACCACGCCAGGTCAATCAGTACGGCCAATCTCTAAGCAAAATGTGCTTTGGTAAGAGTAAAAAAAAAGAAAAGAAAAAAAAAATCAAACCTACCAGTTTGTTTTCTTTGGGATATTCTAAACCAAAAATTCTGAGGGTGTCCGTTCATCCTATCAGTTCATAATACAACGTGTCTGCCACTGCTGTTTGGTACCCAAGTTGAGGAGAGAGACTGGGATCCTTTGGTAATGGTGACTGTTCAGTGCTTGCTTTACGGAGTGAATTCTACCAAGTTTTCATCTCCTTTGCATTACCCTCTCAAATCAGGAAGCAGATGGGCAGAGTCCACACTCTCCTCTGCCCATATTCTTCTTCTTGCTGGGCCATTAGAGCCTCCTTGTACCAGGAAGTGAGACAAAGAAGTTTCGTGCCTGAGGAGCTGTAGAATTAAATGTCCAAGCCAGCCTGGCTGTACTAACCACGAAGGCCACAATGTGTCTCTGTTGTTCAGCAAGCTCAGGCAGGCTTTCCCAGTGAAGCAGCCTGGCAGGGCTTCATTAACTCATTGAGATCACTTAAATCTCCCCTACAGAAATCCACAGTCCTTAGACCATGTGCTTTTCAAATCGCTTTGCTACTGAAAATGAGCAAATTTCACCCAAAAAAGGGCATTAGGCAATTGTAAGCATGTTAGTCTGTTGTCCTCAATATGCAAGTTTTTACAACGAACAGAATAAATCAACAAATCAGAATATATTAACTTTAGGTACACTATCAAGGAAAGAATAACTAAAGATGGGGAGGAAAGTGGAGACTAGGACAAAATTAAACTATTATGTTTTGTAGTGACGGTTTGTTCCAGACTAACCAGATATCTTTCTCTGATAAGAGATGTGATACATTGCGTGAAGCAAATGCAGTTGAGCAGAAGTTTTATGTACTTCAGTGAAGGAGCTGAAAATTCACCACAAGAAAAATTATTAATTTTATTTAAAAGAAAAGGACTGGCACAAGTGACTGAACGAAGAGGAGATGATGACTGTTGGTGTTATAAGAGACAGTGGCTGAAATGAGATTCTTAGTGAAGTTACACAGACAGTGCGTGGTAGCAATTTTATCTAGTACCTGTAGTTGGCTTGCTATGGAAACAAGAAACATATAGCCATTGGCTACATCCAACTAGCTCTCTGGTGATGTCGTCCTTCCTCATTTAAAATATTAAACCTACTGGCAGATTTCAATCAAATTCACAGGAGTGTCAAAGTCCTTTTTCATGAAAGTCCAACATTCATGAAAGTTGGCAACCAGAGAAGCCCTAGAAGTATCCTTATTGCTCAAAATAGCAAAGCATGAGTTCAGATTTTATTAAAACACAGAGAATTCACAAAAAAAAGCTGTAGCCTAATGAGTGCATAAAGTATAAGGGCTCACAGCCATCTGTAAGATTTAAGTACAAATCAGGCTCCACTAACTCTAATGTGCCTGGGTCACAGAAGAAGGCAGAATGATATGAAAGGACTCAACAACTGGAGTATTAAAGATGTGGTAGACTATAGGAGCACAAGGTATAATGTCATCCAAATAGCAGTAAACATTTCTACTAAGCTTTGAAAACAATTAGGAAAGAGAAGTATCTGGTTGTGAAACAAAGCACTACAAATAAACTGAAGATATTACACTACATTTCTTAGATGTTTCCAGGAGTTATTTTCAATTGAGAGCTGGAAATAGTCCCATGACTGGACAAGGTCATAGTCCCACTGAAATATTGTGCATCATATTAATAGCACAGACACAAAACCAAGACCCTACATCTTGATGTGCAGTGATCTGGAGATCAAAAGCACCTGGAATTATCTACGGCTTGATGTGATAACAAATTAAGTTGGAAAAAAAACATGGAAGTGGGAGAGCATTTTGGATACAAGTTGAATGTAGATCTCTCCACTCCAGGATTTACTACCTTAAAGCAAATGCACAGCATTCAGTTGGCATAGGGAATAAACTTAAGTGCTATGGAAGAAAAAAAAACCTTTCACAATAACAAACCACTGAGAAATGAATATTTTTTGTTCAAGAAGGAATCAACTTTAGCAGAAGACTGACAGGGAACCAACAGAGGGACTGTGTAATTAAAGCCATATTTGCTATGAAATATTCATAGGGGAAAGGGACCTGGGGGTCCTGGTGGCCAGCAAGATGACCATGAGCCAGCACTGTGCCCTTGTTGCCAAGAAGGCCAATGGCATCCTGGGGTGTATCAGGAGGGGGGTGGTTGTAGGGCAGAGAGGTTCTCCTCCCCCTCTGCTCTGCCCTGGTGAGACCACATCTGGAATATTGCGTCCAGTTCTGGGCCACGCAGTTCAAGAAGGACAGGGAACTGCTGGAGAGAGTCCAGCGTAGGGCTACAAAGATGATCAAGGGAGTGGAGCATCTCCCTTCTGAGGAGCGGCTGAGGGAGCTGGGGCTCTTTAGTTTGCAGAAGAGGAGACTGAGGGGAGACCTCATTCATGTTTATAAATATTTAAAGGGTGAGTGTCACGAGGATGGAGCCAGGCTCTTCTCGGTGACAAACAATGATAGGACAAGGGGTAACGGACACAAACTGGAACACAGGAGGTTCCACTTCAATTGGAGAAGAAACTTCTTCTCAGTGAGGGTGACAGAGCCCTGGCCCAGGCTGCCCAGAGAGGTTGTGGAGTCTCCTTCTCTGCAGACATTCAAAACCCGCCTGGACGCCTTCCTGTGTAACCTCATCTGGGTGTTCCTGCTCCGGCAGGGGGATTGGACTGGATGAGCTTTGGAGGTCCCTTCCAATCCCTAACGTTCTGGGATCCTGTGATTCTGTGATTCTGTGATTCCTACAGATGCCCACGCAGTATTTTTTTTCCTTTTTCTATTTTTCTCTTTCAGGGTGGCATGTACGTCTTTCAGTTGTTTGACTCCTATGCAGCTAGTGGCATGTGCCTTCTTTTTGTTGCCATCTTTGAATGTGTCTGCATAGGCTGGGTTTACGGTGAGTTGCTGGAAATTGCTGTGGTTTTGAGTTTTTATGCAAGTTTTCTATTTGCATAAAAGCAGAGTGAAAGCTGGGGTCCTCCACATTCTCATACCCTACCAAAAGTCAGGAATGC